TGTAAAGTACCAAAACAACACATTATGCTGGTCACCAATTGATGATACGGCATTTGCCAGATGTCTTGGAAGACCGTTTGATCATTTCGATCCACTTATCACTGACATATAACCCAGTATGAAAGTGGATAAAATCGAACGTCGGAACAAGCAACGCCTCAAGTGTGCAGCAATTCATCGTTCTGTAGAATGACGTGCTGACTGTTTTTGCACACAGACTGCTATAATATCTCATGCCGTGTAATATGCTGTTACGCAACAGCTGCAATACTCCTGGGCTCAGTTTCTGCAACAGTGTCAGTCTCTGAGAGGAAATCCATTATTGTGGCGAGCAAACTCGACATCGTGCAAAGTCCGCTTCCCCCATTGTTATTTAACGTAATGATTATTCATTCCATGCTGCGCTTCAGTGTATAACATGCTACAGTTGCTTGAAGTATTTTGAGCACTGAAATAATTAAGATTTGCGTATCTTCCATATGGCATCATCGTTCTTCCAACCAGCTGCTTCTAAGCGCGTGTAATGTAAAATACGGAGAGATGTGTATGATGAGTAACACTAAGATTGTAACGCTAATTAGGCTGTGTGCAAAAAAACTGAGTATGACGAAAAGGTAGTTTATTGCAAGCACAGTGGTGTTTAGAAATGACACTATCGAGCGACCTCGCCTGGTATTAGCCTACTCAATTTGTAAGAAATCGTTCAGAACGATCTGATGAAGATCATCTGAAGCCTATTTCAAGTATTAGTGACCTTCCTTCAAACGATTATTCGTAGTATATTGCCAAGTCAGTGGTTGCACGTAGTATTCATGTGGCAAAGGGCATCTTGCATGCACTGACTTCTGTGTACGATGGCCTTACAAATGTCTGTTCCGCAGTATTTCCATCCCCATCAGCTGATGTAGTCAAGTTTTATACGAAGTCCAGTATTCCATCTTAGCGAAGGCTAGGCAATATTGGCTAACAATGATTACAGTAACAGTTTTCCTATCTAACAGTTGGTCGGTTTCGATGACCGCTTATTCCTTCGGATGGCATTAGAGAGTGCTTCAAATGTTCCTGATCCTATGCCAGCAGTTGTCCTTCGGCAGAAGATAATCCCAGTTTGAAGCAAACTCCTTCAATACACCTGACCCAGGTTATTCTTGTCCGCCCCTGGGGGCTCTTGCCGATTTGTTGTGCAATTCGTCACTGCTTCTTTTCTGAAAGCATTCGCAACACGTGCTCAGACCATCGCAGCTTTGACTTCTCAGACTTTAGAAGCAGCGGTTGTGCACCAGGGTTCTCTCAGATTAATGTACTCCGGACTACGCTGAGACGAGTGCGCCCAGCGATTCATCTCAGAATGTTCATTTCAGCTGCTTGACCCACGATCGAAATTCTTCAGTTATGTTTCATGAATCATGACCGTAGATGAGCCTCTGGATGAAGATAGACATGAACACCGAGAACGTAGTTTTTAGACTCAGCTCAGCTTTAGTCACAACGGTTCAGAGCAGTTGATGCCGAACGTCGTTTGCCATTTCAATTCGCTGGCCAGTCTGTTGTTCCCACATTCCGTCACCGGTAAACACGACCACCAGGTACTCTCACCACTTCTTCCACTGCTCTTCCATTGATCTGATAAGCGCAGCGCGGGGGAAAACGAGAAAGAACAACGCTTTTCATTTAAGACACGTTCTTACGCATGCTAGCCGCGTCGCATTTGACTGCGAACCTTCGATAGATCGCCGGAGATCAGCTTCAGAAGATGCCAACAATAGAAGATCATCCCCAAGCTGCAGCTTTCTGGCTTCCGCATCACTTGAACGATTGACCGCGCCTGACTGTCCTATCGATATGCAACACAGAGGAGGGTAAGAACGCAGCCCTGGCTCAAGCCAGTGCCAACGCTGTAAGGTTTGGACTTAACGTCATTTACTCTGACGCAGTACCTACTATCAGCATATAGTGACTAAATGACTCATAGCATCTGACCATCGATCTCGATGTTCGCAGGCAC